ACGAATTCCACCCCCCCCCCGCATTTGATACACTCCCCTAGTTAATCAGTGTTAAAGTTAAAAACTAGTTGGACAGTATGAACAAATATTAAACAGTTTTAATTTTTTAAAAAAGGGATATCATTTATCCTGAGTATTATTTGAGATTATAAAAACAGTGTTACAATTTATTAATACAATATTTGTTTCAGATGTGTCTTTGATTGTATCCTGCTTTCTGTTGTGCAGGCAGTGGGATGAGCAGTTGGATCCTAGACTCAATGCAAAGCAGAAGGAGGCTGTTCTGGCCATCACAACTCCACTGTCAATTCAGCTGCCTCCAGTCCTTATTATCGGTCCTTATGGGACAGGCAAAACCTTCACTTTGGCTCAGGCAGTCAAACAGATTCTCCAACAGCAGGATACTAGGTGAGATGGGATGATCTACAGATTTTTAATCAGAAGGCAAATGCCTATTTAAAAGTTAGCAGTGTAGAATTTCCATTTGGCTTTACCCCCCTCCCCCACCATCCATCATTGTTTTATATAGATATTTAGGAGAGCATTTGTGAATCTAGTCTCTCCTTTTGAAGTATGAATTAAAATTGGCACCCTGTGAAGAAAAGCACAGTATTACGTTTAGAAATCAGTGATTTGTATAGAAGTATTTTAGTGGTCTTTGTTTTTAAAACTGTTACTTTTTTATTTACCCACAATTATATGCCACCTCTTCCTGTGACTCTAGGTGGCTTAAAATATATAAAACTAAAACATACATAAAATACAATAAAAGCAATTAATAATGAATAAAATTGTTAAATACTCTAAAAGGCATGAAGGTAGGGGCACATATGACCTCGGGGCCATGCTGTTCCAGGCAGAGGGGGCTGCTCCTGAGAATGTCATTTTCCACCCCATCCCCCAATTTTTTTCCAGGTAGGCACCTGAAGCATTGTCTTCCTGCTAGACCATGGAGCCAGGCAGGCAGGCAGATTCTACCTGGAGAAGACGGTCCTGAAGTAGTGCAAAGCAATTTTAAATGTTTTGTTGAAAAGGTGTACATTCCTACAGAAGTTAGGAACATCATTAAATCATAAAATTTGCAGATTAATTTCATTGAAAGAAATATGCAGAAAAGATGATCACTATTTTTTTGTAATTTTACTGCTTTGAATGATTTTCTGTTTCTTCATTGCTTTTTTATTTGCACCATTTATTCCAGCAGGATTCTCATTTGCACCCATTCTAATAGTGCTGCTGATCTCTACATAAAGGATTATTTACATCCATATGTAGAAGCAGGCAATCCCCAGGCAAGACCTCTCAGGTATTTTTTAAGGTTTATTATGTATCTATACAATATCTTAAGAAAAGGTGTCTGTTCCAAACTGTTTTTAAAAACCATAGAGCTTTCAAGTTTATTGGCATTTTAAAATGATGCTTTTGCATAACCTAGAGACTTTAACATGCATAATGAAAGAATGTCATTTGTGAGCTCATTTCATGCATTAAAGATAAAGACATCCTTTTTTAAGTTGTTCTTATGTGGATATTTGTGCTTTCCGAACTGAACAAATTTTGATATGGTCCTCTAAAAAGCTGCTAAAATATTTTAACAAAATATTGATTGAATTTTATTAGAGGTAAATAATGCTTCTTTAATTCAGAGCCAATTTAGAGTGAACAATTGTTTAAAAAGCTACATATCTGGAAAATCATAAAAAATTAGTTCAGTATCAATCTGTTTGTGTATTTAAATGAACTTGCTTCATGTATTTATGGAGTTAGCAAAAGAAAAAATAATCGAGAAATAAAAGATACATGATCCTTATGAGAAATTTGTGTACATTTATATCTGGAATATGTAATTTTTTCTTAAAATGTGTATATGTTTAATTTACAATAAGAGTTCATTTAAGTCCAAAACTTGCTATGAAAACTTCATCACTGCGTTCTATTGTCCTGATGTCAGGACTGTAGTTGAGCATGGATGGAATATTTCAGCAAAGAAATGTTTTATATTTAAAATGATATTAATGGGCATGTGAAGTGACAGCTTTGCTCTAGTGTCACCTGTAACAAAGATTACTCCATTCATAGCAACCTGAAGTGTATAAAATATTTCAATTTTGAACTGTCTCAAATTCAAAACACTCCATTTCAAATGTGAGATATTTTGAGTTTAAAACGTTTTGCGTATCACAGTGAGCTATCCTGGTTTCTCCTGTAATGTTTCCTTTCTTACTCTGAGATAGCTTAAAATTAGAATTTCTACCTTCTACCCATAAAAACAGAAAAGGATCCCATGCATCAAAACTATTCTTTTCCAAGGAACAGTCCTACCAAGAGTGTTCCTTTTCAGATGATCAGATAAATGGCATTAAGTGACTTCAAGAGATTTCATTTTCAGATCAAGGAATGTTTGAGTACAATAGAACATACCTCATTGTTTTCCTGCATCATTATTTTCATGAAACTATAGGTATGCTATATTTTCACCCTCTTCATTTGCAAACAAGTTATTGCGTTATATGAATAGATATCACTAGGGAAATTGATTCTGTTCATAACTGATCATATTTGGATAGAATCTTATTTGGGAATAGAATCTGTTTCTATTCAGTGTAATACAGGGGTTAAGCTATTTGGCTTGGATTGAGTAGATCCAAGTGCATCCCCATTCAACCATGGAACTCTCTGGGTGACTGGACCAGCTACTCTTCTTCCTGCCCAGCCCTGCTAACTCTCCCATGGTTATTGTTGTGGAGATAACTTTAGGAAGATTTCTACATAAGTTTGAACTCTACATTAAGATAGAAAATAAATGCAAAGAATAAAACAAATAGGTATTAGGAAGAAGTATTCCATGAAATCATATTGACTACGTATTCTTACAGTCTTTTAATTCCTTTGTAACATTGGCTTGTCTCACTGAAAGAAGTTATTTTTAACAGTTTGCTGCACATTTAGCCTTAGGGGGCAAGAACGTAGTATCACGGCTTTGCGTGCAGAAGGTCGTAAATTCAATCCCTGGCAATTTTAGTTGAAAAGGAACTGGAAAGCTAAGTTGCTGCCAATACAGATAGACAATTGATCTAAATGGACTAATAGTATGAGTCAGTATAATGCAGCTTTATACTGTATAGGGCTGCATTTCCATCTGGACATAGACTGGTCCCTCTAAGAGTTGAATGTTCATGCTGTGAGTTGATGGAAGTTTATGTTATGGTCATGACATGCGGATCTTGTAGTCTCATTAATTTCAGTAATTATTCCATTTGTGCAAAACAGGTTAGGGTTTAAATTGTAGCTTTTTATATTGACCTCTCCAAGGTTCTGAGAGTGTTGTGTTCTTCAAGCACTCATACTTGTCTCATTCAGTCAAATAATCCCCAGCCAAACTAAAACAGAATCTAATTCACAAGAAAGGTATTGTGATTTCCCTTGTTCCATAAAATCAGATAATTTAAACAAGCTACTTTTTTTACAGTTCCTTTGAATAATCAAATTGTGTATCTTTAATTATGAGGAGGAATTAGGGCACAAGAGAAATTGATGTGGGTAACTTTTTAGAGCTAGTAAGCCAAATCTTTAGATCATTTTTAGATTTTTATTTATTGATTTAATATCTTTATTTTTGTAACTATTTAGATTAAAGATTATTTTATCTTTAAAAAAGAAACTTAAAAAATTAAAAGTACAAACTAAAAATACAAACTATGAAGGAAAAGAAAAAAATTATACCTTATATTTTATACTTATCAATAGTCACTAGTTTACCAATGAATTCATTACTACAATATGAACAATTCAAGTTACTATTGTATGATATCACAGAATCTTTGTGATAGTAGAGTAGCAATAGTAACACTTATTGCTACATCCTTTGATTGTAGAAAAACAGATCACACATTTCCAACAACCATTCCTTGACTTCTGGAATAATATCACTTTTCTAATTTCTTAATATAATTCTTTTTGCCCCATAAACAGTCAAATTCCAAAGCTTTGGTATATAATTTAACATTATATTAATATATTTAACATTTAAAGATTTTCTCATAAATTTTCTAATATACATTAATATACTATCCCAAAAAGATACTAAATGATCACATGGCCATATCATGTAGATCAGCGTGCCCTCAAATTTCTTACACCTCCAGCATAAAAAATCTGATGTTCATCCTTTCACATATATTCTTTGGGGAGTCCAATATACCCTAAATACAGTTTTTGACGATTCAACCTTAATCTCAATTCTATAGGTACCATTTTAACTGTTTTTAGGACCTGAGGCCGTTGCTGTGGCTTTACGAGAAATTCCAGTTCTTTAATCCATGTTGAAATATCCCAGAAATGCCTACTTTAAAAATATTCTTGAGCTTTTGATAGAGATATGCTTTATGTTTTATTTCTGTAATGGATTTCATCAAGCAAGAAAGCAGCTGAGGTGCTTTTGAGGCAGCTAAAGCATCTGGTTCATATTGATCCGTTAGAACATGCTTAAGCTGAAGATACCTTCACTGTTGCAAATTGGGAAGACCAAATTCAATTTGAAGTCAAGAAACCATTTATAGAACTTATTTGTAATTTAACTATGGAGGAATTACTGGAGGTGTAAAATAGGAGTGCATAACAATTTGATATGGTCCATTGAAACTCAAGCTGCCATATAATCTTTTCAGATACTATGTAGGTGATTGTTTAAAAGACATGCAGTTTGGAATGCTTTGAATTTAAGTATTGACAAATCTCTCACTTTAGACCTTTGAAACTGACTATTTTCAGAAACCTGACCATTTAATACATTCAATAAGAAACTGTTTAGGTTTTCTGTCTAGCAGAGGAATGGATTCTGTTTGAAAAAGCAATAGCAAATGAGGTGCTATTTCTATTTTTAGAGACACTACAGTTGCTTAGAATGTTAATTTTTTACGCTTACCATGGTCAAAGTTCCACTGACATTCAGAAATGTTCAAGATTTTTATTTCACTCTATATAATTCCACCTTACCATTTTGAATACAAATAGAGAAGCAAGATTTATGTTCCTCATTTGCCCTTTGTTCAGGTAATTTGTCAAGCAGAATCAGAATTAATAGTTCTAGGAATGAATCACAGTAGAATTGTTTTCTTTTTTCATGTGCAAGAGAACAAGAAATCTAATGGATGTAATCCAGCTCCTTAATTTTCATTTTTGTGCTAGTGACTAGGCTATTGTTATTATGAAACATGCTTTAAGTGAAAACCCATATTTATATGGAATAAACTCCAGAGACTTTATTCCATATAGGGCACAAATTCATCTTCTCCTGCCTTTTCACATCTGCTATCTTGTCAGGTAACCAAGATATCATCTCATAGAGGGCTTTGATGCTTCTGCTAAGTTCTCTGGGAACTCATGGTGAAGCATATATAAAAGAAATTTAATATTTTTCAGTAACAGTGAAATTCTCTTTTTCCAGCTTCTAGTGTTTTTTTCAGCAGATATATCCAGGTTTTTGGAGGTTGATTGCTCAGGACTTCATAAAAATTGCTAGTGAGAGTAATGTCCCTAATCCAGTCTAGTCTGCTTTTTATTATTCTTCCACAACTAGCTAAAAAACTTTAATCGTGATTAAAGATTAGTAAAATAGGTTAAAACAGGATGAGGGAGGCCTCAAGAATCTATCTTGATTTGGCACTAGCATGATTCCTTCCCCTATTTTAAGTAATTGCCTTGAGTTACATACATATGGGATAATTCAGATAGTTTTCATCTTTGGTATGTTTTTCACATGTATCTACTGTGTGTGTGTGTGTGTGTGTGTGTGAGTGTGTGTGCAAGACCAACTATAATCAAAGCCTTAGTGTCTTTGAAGTATGTTCATTTCTAAGTTTTGAAATGTTCACAAATGTTTTCAAAATAGCTGTGAGAAATAGCAAGGCAGTGGGAAGTGTTACATAACTGCTAGTTGCAAGACATTGTTATGCTAGACCTGAAGTATAAAATCACCTTGCTTAAATCACTCTTGCCTCACTGAAGGGTTTAATTTTTATTCATCATAGACCCAATTCAACTAAATTAAACAAAGCCAGTTTGAAAAGTTTTCTTATTTTCTTAAAATCTGAATTACAATTGTTCAGTGTTTGATCATTTTTTAAAATGAAGTTGTCCCTAAAATTAGTATGAGGGAAATAAAAACTTATGGAAGGAAGAATAAATCAAGGATATTATATGGCTTAGCACTTTCACTGTGTTTGACATAACTTTATTGATGCATGGTTCTGAGCTTAGAAAATCCCTTTTATTTATCAAACATAAATTATGAGGATAAATACATGTCAGTGAACTTCTACTTGTACAGTTCTCCCCCTTCCTCAAATCTGTTCAGAACCCCCCTCCCACCAGTTTGCAACAGATTTAGGAAAAGAAATTTGTTATATTAGCAAAGTCTGTTCTGCTGACAAACAGATAACAATGGATATCAAATATCCATAAGATGTAATTGATAGTCTAATTTCTGAATAAGAGTGCAACAATCCCCAGTCAAATTACAACAAATTTAATAAGAATGAGTTGTAATTTTTGTAAATTGTGTCATACTGTGCATAGCTCTTAAATGCTTTGCGGAAAATAGTGCTTGCTTTCATATGGGAATGTGCTAACTTGTATAGTCGGTGCTTCCTTGGAGTGGTGTGATCTGAGCATTGTAGGGAGGTTTTGTCTGTTTCCAAATGGAGCACTCAAATTAGCCTGTCCCAAAATGTTCTGGGAACAGATAATGTATTTTACAAATATCTCTTTCACACTGGCAGATACCTACTATTATTACAGATGTATTGTGGGGAACAACTTTAACATTTGTACAGATATATATCAGGATTTCTTGATCTTTTGGCTCAGTAGGTATGTTTGGAGTTTTGAGAACTTGTCCTAGACACACTCACAAGTGGCTGACGTAGAGGATGTAGTGTCTATGAAATGGTACAAAGCACCATTTCATAGACAGCAAACTGAAAAGTTGATCCATACCTTCCCCTCTAGTTCCCAAGATTCTCTCTATTTGTTTATTTTCTTGCAGGTGGGCATACCTCTAAATAGAGTACTAGTCACTGGATTTGTGGGATCCAGAAGTATTCTTGGAAGCAAAAATGATGTATCTGGGTGGTAGTTTGGTTTGGAGCATTATGACTCTTTGTTTATTTATTTTAACTAAAAGAAACTTTAAAAAAGCTCTACATGTGATAGGGTATGAAGCCTGGCAGGTGCAACAATTTTTTTAGCACTGTACAAGCTCAATGCCTTATCTGCCATTAATTTTTAGGTTCTTTAATTAAAATTTTTAAATGGAAAGCTAGCATGCCTCTGGGGTCATTTGTAATTCTAAAATTGTGCCTGTGCAATGTACGCATTAGAACATAAAAATATTGGTTCACTGCAGCCCAGTGGTGGTGGTGGTTTTGAAGTAGGCCCAAGAAAAAAGAGATAAATGCAGGCGGTAGGGAGCATCCTGGAAGGCAGGCACGATGGAAGAGAGAATTTTACAGGTTTGCTGTATGGTGAATAGATGTTTTGTGACTGGTAAACTTTTTGTGAATGTGTGTCCCCCCCATAGCTATTTTGTGATGCTCTTGAAATTCTTGCCTGCTGGTCCCAAAAAGTTGTAGAATTAAATGTAGCTACGGGGTTCTTTATCATTTCAAACTCTGGGCTTTTGGATTCATTGCACTATTAGTAATTTTGGCAGTCTGTTAAATAGAACAGAGTTGATAACACTAAGATAAGCTAGTATTGGATGAATTCTTGAGGAAAATGTTGGAGCATTCTGTTCTTTATGAAAAGAACGGATACTTATCATAATTAAAAAGGGTATATTTATAGACTGTCAATAAAAGATACAAAAAATCCCCAACTTTAAATTATGCGGATACTAATATATACTGATTAAACAGTTCACAAATAATTCATGATAATGCCTACCAATAGAAATACAAAATTAGTTGCAATTTCCCTGGAGGCTGGGCTTCAATACTGCTGGTGGGGTTTGTTTTGCTGCATGAGTTTGGGACAGCAAATTGAGTGCCTTCCTCCTCCCCTCCATCAAATAACATGGTACCAAAAGCTGAGTAAAATATTGCAATCCTTAAGGCAGGAAGCCCCACAAGCATCTCTTCCCACTATTGGAAGTAAGATCAAAATAATAAACTAGCAATTTGCTATACTGTTCTTTCATAACCCAATGTGCTGGTACTCGAATTAGCTACTTCATATTGTAGAACTGTAAGGGTGGGATAATTTTATTTTCCCATGTATGGAATGACACATAAGGAAGTTGCTCTTTATTGACTCAGGCCATTAATTAATTTGTCCAGTATTTTCTGCACTAGAAGCTGCTCTTCAGGGTTTCAAACAAGACTTTTCCAGTCCTACCTGAAGATGTTGGAGTTCAACCTCAGACCTTCTGCATGTGCTTTTTCATTGAATTACAGTCCCTGCGGATAGCAACTAAGCTACTGCATACAGTATAAGCAGCAGTGTTTCACTTGCTCCCTTTGCTTTCTGTACAAAGGAGCAAAGCCATCTAAATTTAAACACAGGTAGTAATAACTGTAACAAGCCAGCTTGTCTTAACTGCCAAAACAAAAGGAAGCAAATTTAAGGTGGTGCTAATGGGTTCCTTGCTATATCTTTTCTCTTTGTTTGTCCTCTGCTTTCCATTTTGTGTCTTGTACTTTGATTCACTAAGCTCTTTATGTATCTGTCATACAACATCCTTCTTCTATATATCTATTGCTGATAAGACTTTGATTCATTGTCCTGCAAGCTATATGCCTCTCCTACATGTACCCTCTGCTTCATTTTCTAATTATTGTCTCTTCGAATTTTTTGAAGCACATTTTGCATGGCATGCAAACATGTCCTACAGATCCTTGGAACTGTAGTTGTAGCCTGCAACTTGATTTTACCATATTGATTTATTTGTTTAGCTTGGGTTGAGTGTCCTCTGCTGTGGATTCATTTATTGCTTTTGGGACTATTCTCACTCTGTATTTCTTACTCATATGGATTTTTTTCCCTGAATGCTTCATTTATGTATAATAGTTCTGCATATGTATATGGTACATTAGTGACTATATTTATAGCCTGTGGTTGGTCTCCACTTGTAAGCTTTCTGTTCTATATGAATTTATAGTTACATTCTGAATTATGGTGAATTGATCTGTAGTGGCCTGATATGAAGTGTGGTATTACTTGGCAGCAAGGAACCTTTAAATAATACAATTGTTATATGCCGACCATCAACCTTACCCATTTTGGTGCATTCACAGCTTGGAAGCCACTTCTTTGTCATATCTGTGTGTGCAGCAATTAAGCTGAAAGGTTGCCTACCCGTGTAGTAGATCAAAAGTTAGCAACCTTTTGGTGGCTGGGTGCAGTTTCCAATGATGAAGCAATAATACAGAGCTGGCATATTGGGGCTTTCTGGTTTTTCTTAGATCTGGGGAGCAAAGGTTTATTTTGTTTTTTTAAAGAAACTATATTAAGCTACAGGTTTGATATATTCAAATTTAAATATCAGGAATGTCAGGAAATTGTGACAGTGATTTTCAGCATATGAAGTTGGAGGGGCTCCGAGGGCTGCATAACAAAAAAATTGGGGGATGGCATGGGACTTTGGGCCATCAGGCTGCCTAACCTTCTAGTAGATGAACAAAATACCTTCTGTGGAATCTACACTTTACTACACAGTACCTACCAAGTTCACATGCCATTTTGTGATCTGTAGGTACTTTAATTGTAAAATATGGGAAGATAACTTTAGTAGCAGATATGCTACTTTATGATGCAACTAGTTTATGTTAATAATTGAGTCCAGAATGGGCAACAGAGGAAACAGCAGCATAACATGAAATTTAATACATACTTGTAATCATGTAGAACTCTCTTTCCTTGTTCCTGTTTCTTCATGGGATGAGGAACTGAAAGTGGTTTTTGGGGATTGGAAATGCAAATACTATAAGATAGGCTTTGGTTACTTTGGCTGTCACTCCTCTTAAATCCAGGAGCCTTATTTTTGACATAAAAAAAATAGAAATACTGATATTAATCCTTCAAAAGTTGTATGTCGTGCACTGGAGGTAAATTGCAAGGGTGAGGAGTGGAATCGGGCTGTTAAGAGTGGGTTGGATTTTCCCAGTGATATAGTCAGGTCAAGCAAAGGGGCAAAATGTAAGCTGGAAAAGCAAGTTGAAAGCAATTTGTAAAAGGGCACATAGATGGCTAAGGCGAATGCAGTGAGAAAGAAGAGCTGAACCATTAAGGAAGGGCTCACATGAAAAATCACAGTGATAAAAATCAAAGAGCTTGAGCTATTACTTGGTCCACAGGAATTCTGTTTTCCACAAAAATATAGCAGCTCAAAGAGCAGAGTTCAGATCAGTTCCTTGAAAGCTGAATGTTCAAGTCTGTTCATGGGCAATGATGATAACATTGTGAAATTTTCCAGATAAAATTGAATGTAGTTTATTAAGTGGTTGGTCTTTTAAAAAATGATGGTAATGTTGATTAATGCAAATAACAGCTTTTATCAGTTATTAGGGCTGTATAGTGCTTCAGATTCTATCTCTAAAAAGTGCTTGAGAGTGCTTTTTCTTGGAAAAGGCAGGGCTGCTTTATGGTGTTTCAGGTAGGTGCTGCTGCATTCAGGCTTCCATGTGCTCTGAAGCCCTTTTGGGGGATGGAATCTCAGATATTTCACGGTCCTAGCAATTACCTTCTGCACTAATAACTTGACTCCAGTAACCTTCTGGTGGAAATATGATATATCATTATTGAAGCCAATTAAGGCTAGATAATCAGATGTTTGCATAAATGTAACTGGTAGACTATGATGACCTGGGACACAGTTGTATTGGGGAGAGGGCTAAGTAGTTTTACACTGTAAAAGTAATGCATATAATGTTAGGGAATTCAGTGTATAGTACATTCTTTTATAGTTTAGCTTGCTTAACAAACAATGTAAGAAAAGCAGGAGAAAAGTTAAAAATTCACTGCTGCTATATTTTGCTAAAAAATAAGATCTTTTCCTCTTTTCCAGGGTTTATTTCAGAAATCGCTGGGTAAAAACTGTCCACCCAGTTGTGCATCAATACTGTTTGATTTCAAGCACACATGCCACCTTTCAGATGCCCCAGAAAGAAGACATTCTTAAACAACGAGTAGTAGTGGTTACTTTGAATACTTCACAGTATCTATGTCAGCTAGATCTTGAGCCTGGTGAGATAATGTTTATGAGAAATGATTACTGCTCCATTCTTTTCAATATACAGTTCTTGTGATCTTTTTCTACAAGAAGTGAAAGCTATCACAGCTTTATTTTGTGTGACATTCTGTGTGAATTGAAAGCAGTGAGAAAGCAGAAATATTAGCTCATGTTTTCTCTATATAAAGTTTTATATGTATTAATTCATACTTATGCATATTTTATCGTGGATCTTATTTCTCTGTGAAGTAGATAGTAAAGAAAAGATACTGTTAGCAATTTGATTGAAAATCAGCCAAATCTCATCTCTTCCCCCCATAAATGAAATAATAGTTTAGGATTTAAAGGAGCCTGACATTAATTTGATATGGCATACAGGTAGTCCTCGAGTTACAGCTACAATTGGAACCAGAATTTCCATTGCTAAGCGATGTAGTCATAAAGCGTGACTGCATTGCTTAGTGACAGCAATCCCTGTAGTCCCAGTTGCCACTGTTAACTGAATCCCATGGGCGTTAGGTGAAGCAACTTCTTGCTGGCTACCCGCAACCAAAGTCAGTGGGGAAGCTGGCAGGAAGTTGCAAGTCCCAGGCCAGCAGGCAAGTAAGTGGCTGTTGCCAGGTGTTGGAGGGAGTGAGAATGGGTGCGGGGGAGGGTCAGGGAGGGTGCGCAAGGGTGCCACATGGGTTGGGAAGGGTGTGAGGTGCACAGTGGTGTGTGAGAGGCACTGCATGGGTCACGGAGGGTGTTCAGGGGTGCATGAGAGGTGCCATGTAGGTTGGGGAGGGTGTGCAGCAGTGTATGAGAGGTGGTCTGTGGGTCAGGGAGGGGGTGTGGGGGTGTGGCATAGGTCGGGGAGGATGCATGGGGTGTATGAGTGGCTGGCATGGCGCGAATGCAGAGGGGCTGGGGAGGGGGTGCAGATGGGGAAAACTTAGCGACTTGTGACGTTCCCTGCTGGCTTCCCCATTGACTTTCTGGGGAAGCCAGCATGGAAAGTTGCAAATGGTGATCACGTGATCGCAGGGTGCTTGGCAACTGGTCGTAAGTGCGAATGGGTTGCCAAGTGCCCAGATCATGATCACGTGACTACGGGGGTGCTGGGACAGCCATAACTCCGAGGATCAGTTGTAACCACCATTTGTTCAGCACCGTTGTAACTTCAAACAGTCGCTGAATGAATGGTCGTAAGTCGAGGACTACCTGTAGATTCATCTCTTAGAAAGTTTGCAGTTATGGAGGAGGGGGATTAATTAACAGACATGAGAGAGAAAAATGTTGCTCCTACCTTTACTTCCACTTAGTTTGCAGGAACTTGGTACAGCCTTGATTCTTCAGAACATCTGACATCAGAATGTCTACCATAAGTGAGGAGAGAGCCAGTTTGGTTTAGTGGTTAAGGCACAGGCTAGAAAGCAGGAGACTGTGAGTTCTAGTCCTGCCTTAGGCATGAAAGCCAGCTGGATCACTTTGGGCCAGTTATTCTCTCTCAGCCCAACTCACCTCACAGAGTTGTTATTGTGGGGAAAATAGGAGGAGGAAGGAGTATTAGGTATATTCACTGTCTTGAGTTATTTATAAAAATAAGAAAGACAAGATTAAAAAACTCTAAAAAAGGGGGGGATTGACTATAAATCTGTTTTTACTATACTGATCTGGCTTAAGGATTTTCTTTAAATGAATTGTGGGTGGTGAGGAACACAAATATTTCTTTAAATGAATTGTAGGTGATGAGGAGGAGTTGGTATGATCTCCTAATTAGCTATATTTAAATGTTAGATCATTTATTATATGGTTAATCTATAAGCATTATAAGGAGAGTGGACAGATTTGCTCTGTATTTTCATCACTTCTCTAATTTTTACTAAACCTTTTAATTAGTATTGTTTTTAATTAGTTCTTGTTTGAAGAGACCCAAATATTAACTAATTAGAATTATTCTACATGTAAACTGTTCACGCTTAGTTGTTTGAAGGAACATAAAAGCAGTTGTAATAAATAAGATAATGAATATGTTCATGGGAAATAATCCAGAACTGTAAATATATTTGTACAGGAGTTGTTTATGTTCAGTCTTACTTTACTATAATATCAAAGCATATCTGTAATATATTCAATCTTATATATTTCTTGCCATATATTATGAATTTAAAAATGGCTTCCATATACAGTAGTACCTCTACTTACGAACTCGCCTCGACTTATGAACCGGATCCGCGGCCATTTTCCTCCCGTTCCACGTGGTCCGCGGCCATTTTCCT